GGCAAAGAATTTGCTTGAACTGGCCTTTGCCTAAGTAGCAAATTTAAGACGGCAGTCTGAGATCATCCGCAACGGGCCCATATAGTCATGGGTGAAATTGGAAGCGAAAAAATGAAAATATATTGTCGTTCTAGACCGGTTCTTCATTAACATAACAACAGGTATAATAACAGGCCACTGTTCAACGGGGATTCACTCTTAAGTAAATGGTAGATTTATTTGTTTCAAACTTAAGTATTCATGTCCTGTCCGTTGTTTTATGATAGGCGTTGTTCTTTCACACAACTCATTAAGAAAGCCCTTACTCTTGCATCCAATACTGAGAAGTCTTTAAAGGATTCAAATCATCGGGCGTACTTTATTTCTACCACATTTTCCAAAGACAAGTCATTTGCGTTGATAATAAAATGTTTTGCTTGCATTTAACATAATTACAGACTGGGTATACGAGTAAGTGATGAATGCTTCTAAAATCGATAAATCTGAGCAGTTTGAACGGTATTCAAACAGCACATATTATATAATAACTTTAGTCTTATATATGCAAATATAATATATGCAGGCAAATTTCCGTAAATCCAGCTTCACCTGCATATTTTTGTTCTTTTGTTTACCGAAACTGCGGACGTAAAACACAAGTGTATATAAATGCGGAAGAAGTATTGACAAAGTCTGCAGAATAACTCGTATGTGTATACATATAAATATGTGCAAACCACATGCAACATACATGCTCATAAGCTTAACACCACCAATAGCGATCATCATTTTATGCTGGTGATAATAAAATTTGAAGCTGTCTAATTGAACAATCTACTGCACATACATATAATATATAATATATAAATAAATATAATATATTTTTATTTTCATTGGATAAGTAGAATCTCTGGTATTTTATCTCATTGTTATGTATTGGTGAAAATTTATTTCAGCATTAATGTTTGAAGAGTACAGTAAATATAAATTCACAGATAGTGCATATATACATACATACATATATGTACTGCTTACATTTTGACCTGATTTTATTATACTCGTACATAGGTCACCATGCATTCAAAAAAAAAGCAAACTTGTCAAAGCAGGTAATAGTTTACAATCAGAATTTTGAGAAAAAAGTCGCTCTATCCCCAAAAGTATCAAAATAGTACCAATTATAAAAAGGGTGATTTTTTAAGTGCTATAGGAATTTTTTACAGAAAAAAAAACGCAACATAAGATTAAGAAAAATGCATAAAATCTTAATTTGAAGCAATAGCACGGTCCATATAATTTAACGTTTAAAGATTTTGTCATGCTAATGTTGACCGTGACTGTGCCTCAAATGGTCCATCCGTTTAGCCCAATCTTGCCATACTCTTTCCAACATTTCGGCTGGTATCTCTCTAATAAATGCTTCATTCACCAATCACAGTTACGTTATGATTCTCATCAACTTTGAAGAAGTACGGTCCAATGATGCCACCAGCCCATAAGCCGCAGCAAGTTGAGATTTTTTTTTGGATGCATTAGTAGCTCTTGCAATGCTGGCTGATCTTCACTCCTAAATCGACAATTCTATTTATTTACGCATCCATAAAGCCAAAACGGAGCTTCGTTGCTTAACACAATTTTTTTTTTCCTGAACTTTCTTGACAAAACACGCATTTCAAAAAAAAAAATTCTATAATTTGCAAGCGTTGTTGGTTTGTAAGACGATTCATGGTTATATTTTAGACCAAACAGCAGATGTTTGACAGCGATATATCTTTGGACGTGAATTAGCTCAGCAACAGAGTGCCTCGATGAACTTAGTTCGATTTTTGGCGATAAAGTTCCTTCAGGTACCATTATTTATCGATGGAATATTAAATTTCAAACGAGATCCTGGATCACACCATTAAGATTATATTGAAGTTCGTCTAGAATCAGTTGTTTTTTAGGAAACCATTGACGCTGCGCGCAAACTGTCTTACTTCTTTTGCTTGCTTTTGTAACTGGTTTCGTAGTAGTAGTTTTTGAATATACCGCACTACTGCGGAGCTCGTGAGTACATATTTATTTATATGCATGTGGCACTTTACTATACTGCATCAATTTGGCAATCATAAAAATTTCATTTACTCAGCAAAAATGAATATCGATGGAAAATACAAGCCGGTAAATAATTTTATTACAACACTTTAACAGCGAAAGCTTTTTATATTGCTTACGTGTGGTAGTGCGTTTTTGAACTCTGCTCATAATAAAAACTATACAGTTTCCGTTTATATAAGCAAATAAAATAAACCTGCATGGGTTGGTAAAATAAATTAATAAAACGCCAGTGGAATATGTAAATATACATAAACACGTATTTTTACATGTCCATATAATATATAAAATTAAAAATTATCAACTACCCTTACTGTCGTTTACTGTTCACCAGTATTTCCTCTAACAGCTCCTATACATTTATGACGTTAGATGCTTAATTTCCATATATGGCATATAACGTCGGTATGAACGATTAATGCCGACCTTTAACGAGTAAAACGAACCTAATTTGTGGGGCGTTAGACCTGGTAAGCTTCCCATTAAACGGATATTCACAATGTGACAAAAAAGTAGTAAAAACCGTTAAGCAAAGAGATGGACGGGCATAACATCTTCGTCGATTTTAAAGCGGCTCTTGCTATAACAAAAAAGAAGTGCCTCTAAATCATAACAACTGATTTTGGTAATCCCGCAAGACTTACAAGGCTAAACAAAATGACGTTGAATACTATGAGAAGCGCCATAGAAATTAGAAAGAAACTCTAAGAGTCGTTCGGCACCAAACAATGCAAACACATCTTCCATAACAGCATACAACTGCTGGCGTCCTCCCTCGATAAACAAATACTAAAATCAATGGGACGGCCATCATATCTGTTCTGCTGTGTGTGTGTGTGTGTGTGTTATACTGAATTCTTTCAAATGTATGAGTAAATAACGAATGTTTGAACACTGTTGAAGTTAATTAGCATTGCGCACTGCCATTTTGAAGCCCAGGGTTCGATTTCTGATTCGACCAACATCCAAAATTGTAGAAAGTTAATTTTTCTTACTGCAATCGCCACTCGGCCCTCTGAGTATATATTTGATATAAAGTGTTATATCAAGGAGGGAACTGAAAACATACTGTGGATACCCAATTAGTTGGAAAACCATCAAAATGCATACCTCATATTGGTTATAAGAGCCAATTATATATACATATATACATGCTGATATTGTATTTTTTAAGCAGAACACATTAACAACTTCCCTTAAAAAGTTACCGAGTGCATTAAACTGTATTCAATTTAAGGATTTATGTGCAAGTAATAATGTGGACCACCCATGTTATCATCTTTATATTAACGCTGTTTAGCAGAAAATCCAGGTTTAGTTCTGATCCGTTGAGCGATTACACATAAAAACGGTAGCAACCGATGAAAATATTTTAATCCAAACTTTTAATGGCTTTCTTTCTTTTCATTCTTTTTTTTCACTTGTGCGCATCTATTCATGTGAAAATGTGAACCTTTCAATATGCTACCTGCATACTAGTTGTCCTCCTTCTTTATAATGACACTTATTCTCTAATGAGTGACTTTAGTGAATAACAGCAGACCTTGTTATTATTTATAAGATTTTTTTATGCTCTGTTTGTTATTGATACGCGGAGAAATTCTATTCGGCATATTCATTTAATTTAAGATCGCACACAAAACTCAAACACTTGGGGGTGTGATGATTGTATTATTTTGCAAACAAATCTATTCTAAATTTTAATAAATTTTTATTTAAATCAACAAACAATGAATAACTTAAAATTTATGCGAATACTGAACAATCATCACTGAAATAAATTTATTTTTTTGACAGCTTTTGAATTATAAATTTATCTCATATTTTGGTACGAGATTAATTAATAAAAAACGAAAACTGCAAATTTTGATTGTTCTTGAATTGTATACAGACATCTGTTTTAATTTAATGCGGATCATATAATGTAATATCCGTGCCCACAAGACTAAAAATTTAATTTTTTTTAATTAATTTAATTTCATTACTATAAAACAAAATATTAATTATATATTTGGCACTGAATTGCAACAAAAAAATTATTATTTTTTCCAATAATTACAATTAAAATAACAATAAAATAACATTTCTAAACTCTCGATAATATTTTCTTCTATAAATGTTTTCTTCCCAAAAAATTACCCTTTTCATAGAAGACTGTGTTATTTTTGATAAGGGGGACATTTATATAATAATATTAAAAGCTACATAAAATCAAACCAAATAATATGCAGAAAATTAAAACAAAATAGAATAAAATAATATAAATTAAAATTATTTAAATGAAAATAAATTAAAACAAAATTAAATAAAATAAAATTAGATAAATTAAATCAAATAAAACAAAATAAAATAAAACAAAATAAATTAAAATAAAATTAGATAAATTAAATCAAATAAAACAAAATAAAATAAAACAAAATAAATTAAAATAAAATAAAAAAAACAGAAATAAAACAAAATCAAATAAGATAGAGTAGAATTAAATAATATAATATAATATAAAATAAAATAAAATAAAATAAAATAAAATAAAATAAAATAAAATAAAATAAAATAAAATAAAATAAAATAAAATAAAATTTAATTAAAAAAACAAAATAAAATATAAAACATAATTAAACAAAATGAATTTAAATTAAATAACGCAAAACAGAAGTAATATAAAATCAAATAAAAAAAGTAGAATTAAATGAAATAAATGCAGTAAAGTAAACAAAATACAGAATTAGGAACTAAGAATTATCTCAAAAAAGTCCAATAAATAATTATGTTTAACTAAATAAAAATTAAAACATTAAATAGACCAAAAGATTTGACTTTAATTTTCGACTTCGCTGTTTCTTCGTCTTATTTACATTATGTATTGATGTTTATTATGTATGTATATTATATTAAATAACTGTATTTGTATACACTTTACTCACCTGTCTGCCTTCTTCACACCCGACCACATGGCCGCCGAAACTGGTGGCATGAAGCGTAAATTGCCCACAGGCGGCGAAGCATATGGTATACCGCGATACGCCTCCACCGGATCCAAATGTCGACCTTCAAGCTGTACGATAACACCGGATATAGCGCCATTGCGTGTGTGTATGATGCGTGAAGATAATTGGGCTGGCAGTTGATCAATCTGTGCGCCATGTGCATGACTGTTGACGTTGTTGTTGGTTATACCGATATTAACATTTTGACGACTACTACGTCCATTACTGCCACCACCACCACCACCACCAACACCACTAATACTACTGACACCTGCACTACCCGTTAATGAGGCTGATGTGAGTAGAGCGGCACCACCTGCAGTAGCAGATGCTGCACTACTACTTGTCAATGACAACGATGGTCCCAGCAAAGAATTTGCAGCGGTCAATGAAGCAGATGTAATGGGTGAGGATACTAATGGTGACGGAGAGTCGTTGCCTTCAGATCCTAATGAGGCGGCAGACTGCATACCGCTGATATCAGTAGCTGAGGCTGAGATGAGCGCACGAAAAACAGCTGATGTGCTGCTGCTGCTGCTGCCACTACTATACGTACCAATATCACGTCCACTGCGATTATAACTTCTTGTTTTACTATATTGATTGCTTGCTGCAACATAAGTCGTTGACGCTGCTGTGGCAAATGAGCCACTGTTACCGCCATCGCCGCCAAGACATGACAAGAGGAGGAATAGTATCGTAGGTACGGTGGATTTTGTTTTCAGCAGGTGAGTGTGGTGTAGTAACATTATCATTATGGCGCTATATAGCGCACTATGCGTTTATGGCCGTTGCTGCAGCTATTAAACTGCTTTCGCTGATGCTGAGCGTGGCGTGATGTGAACTGCGTAGATGGTTGTTATTGCTATTTATGCACCTAACGGCTTACTACTTTTACTCACTTATGTTAATGGCGTATCACATTTACGGTGGCAGTCAAATTGCCATACTTGGTGAATATATGATATTTCTTCTTATTTTCATTTTGCTTATCATTTTGTTATCACTTTACGTTTATCTAAAGTCTACTGGAAGTTTGAGAATCGCTCAGTGTTTATTGGTTAATTTGGCTAACTTGTATTAACTGTAAAAAGTATTTCATTTCATTTTAAATATGGTAGACTTCCTGATATTTATGATCATATGTTGATGCAAATTTGGGCCTTTACTCCATTCAATTAAAGTCTTTTAAAATGAATCTACTAAGTTTTAGTCCATCACTTGCCAGTGATAGTGATCTTGTTTTACAGTTTACCAGATCCATACAGATTTTCGTTTGAGTTTGGTGATATTCGAAAAGAGCTTTATGTACCAGAGTACACCTTGCAACATTTGTCTTTTCGTCACTAATCACTTGATATTCCTGAAAATAAAAAAAATATAAAAACATTTTTTATATTACTAACATTATAATTTTCTTCACTATATATACAATGCTTATACTTCAATATTTAATGCTATAAATTTATACATGTAGACTTTTGAGCATATATCTTTCATATTAGTGACATAATTTTAGTTCATTCTCAATTTTATGCGCTTTACTAGATTAGTTGCTTTTAAAAATATTTTAAAATTTATTTTTTAACACACCGGGTTGGGGAAAATTTTTCGTTCTCCAATGCATACAAGATAAGTTATATTAAAATTTATAATAATGAATTTTTCATGTAGAGATTTTCATAAAAAAAATATTTTCTTCCGCAAGACTTCTTAGGTCCGTTCAGTATTATACTAACATATTACACTAACAGTATATAATTTGCGTCTAAATTTGATTTTCCTTTAAGCTTTTTAAACTTATAGTTAATAGTGAAATCACATTTCATATATCGCATTAATTCCTTTAATGAAGTCTTAACGCTTTTGGAAACAGTGACAAGAAAATTTGAGGAAAATTTGTGATGTAAATATATGCTAGCCTTAAAATAAAAAAAAGAATCGTTTCAACGTAGAAATAGTTTGATTATTTTATACAATTCCTTTGTGAAATCAGTTAATTTGTTGAAAATCATTTTAAAGTAATTAATTCAATTTACACACTCTGGCGCACTTCCCTTGATCCCCTTCTTAATTTTTTCCATTCTTTTATTTTGTACCTACATGCATGTCAAATTCGCAGTTGCAGGTGTTACAAACAACAAAAAACAACAACATCGCTAACACAAGTAGTTAAAATTACAGTAAAAAACAGCATCACTCAACAACACAATAAAACGATTTCAAATGCACTGAGGGGCGAGTGCAACACTTCATAAATCCATTCACACACATACTCATATACATATGTATACTTGCATGAATTTGCGTATACCGAAGAGGCAAGGAAATATATATACATTCCAACTACAATATATATGTACACACTACATACTGCAATAGCTTTATGTTACGTATACGACATAGGGTTGACTCGTAAACATATACATATGTACAGGTATGCAATATAAGTTAAGCCAATGTGGGCCGCATGTAAATTGATTGGAATGAGTAAATAAAGAACACAGGTAAAAAATACCGTGAATGCAAGGAAATGGTACAAAAATTAAAAAAAAAACCGGCAGACCAGGAAGAGGGGTTAAAACATAAGCACATACAAACAATGGAAGCTGACAACTCAGTATGACAATTGTCCTTAGGCTGGGATTTAAATATCTTTACAAGCAAACTAGCGTGACGTTGAGCAGCTGAGCGTGTAATAAGTGCAGTTGCAGTAGAGAACAAAAAAAAGATATAACAATAACAACATGCTGACACGAGATGCACGTGTACACCTGCATAGTTTATGACTGTGACAACATTCGCCTGCAGCAGACATGTTATTACAACGCCTCCGAACATATTTGCACAGTGTTACTCTTGTGTGTTCTTTATATTTTTTTTTACTAAACAAAATTTATTTTTAATTGCATGTGTATTTAAAGAGTACTCAACGACAGTTTTTTCTGAGTTTAAAACAGTTTTTGGCAAATAAAAAAATTAATGACAAACAAGTGAATGCAAATAGATATATGAGTAAAGAAATAAAAAAATAAATTTAGAGATTAAAAAAAAAGATCGATAAACTAAACTTAAATATACTAATTCTGAAGTAAAATAGTTAGCAAATAAATAAATAATGATTAAATTAATTTCCTATTAATTAACTGACGAAAAGGAAGTTACAAATAAATTACTGAATAAAAACAGAATAAAAGCTATACAATTACTGAGTAGACAACTTAATTAAATAGAAAATTGAAAATAAACTGTATGAGAAAATAACGTTGAAACAAATAAATAAATAGACAAATAAATAAGGCAAACAGTAAACAGATAAACAAATGACCTAAAAATAAACAAAAAGGATATAAATAAGCAAATAAATAAAACAAATAAAAATAAATTATTTGAAAAGTAAAACAATAAAAGAAATAAAGAAATAATTTATAAAGAACTAAATTAAACAAATATTATTAAAATATTTGTTTATTATTTGACAAAATATAATAAAATATATATCTTCCGGTTATAATTGAGTACAAAATAAAAAAATATATAATTTTTATTACTTGCACTAACAGCAGTATTATATGCGTGGTAATGCTCACAGAAACCCGTGTTCCTATTGAAAGAAAATTGGGATAATAGATTCTTGCAGACATCTTTATTAGACAAACCATTCGCCATAAACAGGAATAGAAGGTAATCCCCAAGTGCGAGCTCTGAACTATGAAGTGAATGCATAAGAACTTCTCCTCAAACCTCTTGGGGGGTTTGGCTTCCGGCGAGTCCCTTACAATGTGTGTGGTCTAGCTTTGTTATTATGAAATGCAACATTCATGGCTAAAGGGCTCTTCATGGCTATTTGTTTTTTTTCAGATATTCCAATTGTTGAACAAACACGTCCGAACTAAGAGTTTGGCCATAGTGGTTAATACCTTGCTTATCTCAACAAACACATAATAAAACCTTTATGGCCGACAATCTTTGCTTGAATACCGTTTATGCTGGCTCACTACTTTTCGAAGTTGCTGTAAGTGATCCCTTTTTCAATGTTATTTGATTTCAGCAAAGATTTCTCCAATATTATCAAAAATAAAAGAAAATGGGTGATATTTAAAGGCACTTTATTTTCATAATAGACATTCGAATATTTTTTTATATAATATGTCGATGTAGTAAAAGTTTTCATGTCACACACCTTAATCTACCACGATGGTTTTTGCAATTTAGTTTTTTTGCGTGATAAACCTTAAAAAAAGTAAAGTGAAATGTTCTTCGTGAAGACTTGTTAGGTCCTCTAATTATACAACTAAAAACTATACACTATAATTTATTAATTTATTATTAACATCAGAGTCTTAAAAGCTCCGTATGTGTTCAAAAACAAGTTTTAGTTCAGGACAACTCGGATGTCATCGTATTTCTTTTACTAAATTTAGTACAATCAGCTAAAAACATATCGACTCAGCTGATGCAAGAAACCTCGTGGGAGTGTATGAAAATATCAATGATGACGGTAGGAAAGGAACTAAATTAGTTGAATTTCCACTGTTGTTTAAATGTTGCTCATACAGCATGGCGAGCGCTTTATTTTTAGGTAGAATTCTTAAATATAATACGGTTTTTCAATAGATTGAAATATGATATATGAGATTTGTACTCTTTTATTTTCACAAATTTATAGGAGATGTATTTTTCATTACATATGATTGATTGTTCTTTCTCCTATTTCGACAGACTACACAAACTAAATACATTGAACGAATTTCGTTATTGACTTTTCGAAATACATAGGATTTTTGTTTTTGTATTTTTGCGGTAGTACCGTGTGAAAATTTGGCTTGATATTAACGAAACACATATTAACTGACAATTTTAAGGTTTTCGCATTTTGCACGCTATTGAAGAGTAGCTAGGTGAATTCTGGGAAAAAGATTATGCCAAAAGCAAAGCCATATACAGTGACGAGGTTGATTAAATTTTTTGGCTCCCCGAAAAACTATTGAAATTTGATTAGAATTCTTTGTAGTAAACAGAATTTAAGCGAGTACTAGATATGTGCTTAATTCAGGTATTCAGTAGTATAACATATTATGGGAAGCCGTTTTCGTAAAGCGCTATTATCATGAATTTAGTTGGTGGGCTGATAGAGAGAGATTAAGCACGTGGCAGCAGGCGTCCGCACTTAAGTCATTGAGAAGTCGTATTGTGCTCCCCCGTGTGTCCCAACCAGGCGTTTGTAAAAGGTTGGCATATTTATATAAATTCTTTAAATTCTCCTTCAGAAGGAAGGATAACTGATGAAGGAATTGTGCAAGAGCTGCTGAAGACTGTGATACAAACATGTGTTCTGAACTTTCCATCCAAAAATATGCGTACTGAGTGCATCCTCTCGCCGGGAGGTATTTTCTCCATTTTTATTTAACTCACTGTGCCTACTTGCGAGCGAAGATATGAAGTATAAAAGTCATACGTGTGAATACACATACAAACTGTAGGAATGTTATACAATTTCAATTGCATGATCGCTTATACATTTACACATCCACACGCACACACTCACACAGACATGCATTAAGTGGTACAAACCGCTTGCACCCGCACTCGCACACACTGAATGGTACAAACTGCTTACACCTGTGCAAGCATTAAGTGAATGAGCTTTGAGTGAATGCCACAGATGCGCAACTATCAGACGTTCATGGTTATATTCGCTGTATATATACTCGTACATTATATATCCATAAAAACAGGTTGTTGTTACTGAATGTTTTCACATAAACGCTATTTACTATTTACATACATATTAACATACTCATACATATGCATAGATGATATGTGAATGCATGTGCTAATGTATGTAAGTTTGGAGGTAAGCACGTAGTGAGCCAGTTAATCCAATGGAGTGTGTGCAACATGCAACAAACAAGGACAAGGCCGTCGTAGTCGTCATTGTTGTTAGTACTATTACAGTTAGTGTTGCTGTTGCTGTTACCAACTGCATTTCATTATATTTGAGACGAAAACAAAGCCGTTAGCGAGACAACAATAAAAGCGAATGAAATCCACGTGAGTGGAAACGCTCGTAACAGTAACAAAAATAACAACAAAAACATACTGAAAATGACACACACAGCCACGAGTACGCGTCGCATTCAAAAATAGTGCATAAAAGCAACAAAAAAATCACGGTCGTTGAGTGTTTTTCTTGTTGCTTTTTCATCCCTTTTTCTACTATTATGCATAGAAAATACTAGAGTTGTATGCATGTAGGTTCCACTGTGTGTGTATGTACTCTCTTGTATTTTGATTGCAGGCATAAAAGTGGCATTTGAATTGCATTAACTTACTTAAGCTGAAGCTTACGAATTTCTTACT